TTTCTTTCTTTCTTTCTTTCTTTCTTTCTTTCTTTCTTTCTTTCTTTCTTTCTTTCTTTCATCTATTTAGATATTTCTTTACTATTTCTGGTCTCTTGAACCTTGTCTGAGAAAGCTGAGAAAACTAAACATCTCCTTCCGACCCATTTTTTTTTTTTGGGGGGGGGGGGGGGGAATTGCAGAATTAAACTCCTTTATCCAGAAATTGTGGCTGCTCCATCCCTGGAGGTTTTTAATGGCCAGCCATTCATCTGGAATGGTACGGGGTCTCCCGTGTGAGTAGGGTGAACTAGAACAGTGGTAGCCAACCAGTGGGCCGGGGACCACTGGTGGGCCATGAGAAAATTTTGGTGGTCCCCAGAGAAAGGTCCCCCCCCCCCCCAAGCAATTAATCCAGGCTGCGCAGGAAGACAAGGCTGTGCCGCCCGCATGGCCCACCCATCCGTTGGCCTGCTCACCCTTCGGCCAAGCAAGCTGGAATTGGAAGGCGAGACCAACGGCAGGGGAGGGAAATCCGCCCCGGGGTGGCTTGCTGATGTTGGCGGGAAAGTGGGTCCCATATTCCAGAGCTGCAGTAGCCACAGGACAGGCCCTTTGGTCATCCCGGAGCAGCTGCTCCGGGATGACCAAAGGGCCCGTCCTTGTGACTCCTGCAGCTCTGGAATATGGGACCGATTTTCCTGCCAACGTCAGCAAGCACCATCAGTCAAAATTCATATTAGTGGTCCGTGGGATTTAAAATTATGAGTTTGGTGGTCCCTGAGGTCCAAAAAGTTGGTAAGCCCTGGACTAGTAGACCTTCGAGGTTCCTTCCAACTCTGTGGTTCTGTCATCTTATTATTTGTTACAAGTGGAATGTACCTTACTCTACATCAACTGTACCTTTAAAGAGTGTAGATCCTCCGGATAAGACAATGTTCCCAAACAGCGTCCGCCTCAGGTCCATGTCAGATTTCTGGATGGCAAACACCAAGACTTCGTGGATCCCTTCACTTTCATCTCCTATGAGGTCCGGTTGGAAAAGCAGCTCAGGAGCTCGGAATCGGGAAGGACCAACCTGTCCCAAAAGCCACAGGGTCAAATTCTGCTTCAGCGGGACTGGCTTGGCTACAACATTCGTAAGCTGGCAGGTGGTTTCTCCCCCCACCCCCCACCTTAGGGTTGTGGTTCACTGGCAGCCGGTGCAGATGGCAGCGGAATCGGACAGTGGGGAAGAAAAGGGGACCAGTCAGGGAGTCTGGGGAAGACTCGGATGAGGGTCGTGCATCCGATGCAGAGATGGGGCCAGGACCATCTGGGAGTGGGGTGCTGCCTCCGGAGTCTGGCAGCAGCGAGGCAGAGGACCCAGGGGAGCCTGTTCCCAGTGCGCATGTGTGCAGAGCTGCTAGAAGGCGAGAGCAGCTGAGACAAAGGGGTGACTCGGGAGTAAGGCTGGGAGGTGATTGCCCCTCCCAGCAGGTATAAAGGACAGGCAAAGGTGAAGAAACCTTTGCAGGAAGCAAAGTCGTTCGTTCAGTTCAGATTCATTCTTGAAGCTCTTTTGTACTTTGGTTAGTTTTTGTTCTAGTTCATTTGACACTTCTGTCATAGGCAGCACTTCACAGAAAAGAAAGGTGGGTGCTTATCTTGAGGGACTGTTTGAGATTCATTACCAGCTGGGAATGAAAACAATTCCCAGAGTTGCAATAAAACAAGACTTGTTTTTAAAATAAGCGTATGTGTAATTACGGTCTCGGAAGCCTTGGTCAGAACACTTACGCAGATCACCAAATATGGCTGAATTAACCAGTCTCTGATGCATGCATAGCTAGGATCTCACAAAGCTTTTTTTGAAGATCATCACAACTGCTTCTCTCTTGCACACCGAAACAGGAAATTTCAGGGCCCTCGCAGCCACATCCCAGGAGCAACACACATTGTTTAGTTCAGGAACTTACGTCTAAAGTGCTTCCGTCAGGCAGCGTGTACTGCACCTTCTCTGTCTCTAGGGCTTCATCCTTCTGAGGGTTGATGGACAGGTAGCAAGCTCTCTGTAGGGAGAGAGGAAGCATGTGAAGCACCTGAAGTGGACCTGGAAGCCACCAGGGAGAGAAGCTCCTCGTAGGTTCTCATGGTGGGGCGGGAGATCAGTTAAGCCTCTCCTCCTTCACTTGACCATGGGCAGCGGGCAAGACTTTGAGCCTTCTCATACCAAAAGTCTGCTGGGGTTCTTCGTCTGCATGTTCATTTTCAAACTGAACTGGGCCTGGCTAGTCTAGAGAAGAGAAGGACCAGGGGAGACATGTTCCAATATTTGAGGGGCTGCCACAGAGAGGAGGGGGGTCAAACTGTTTTCCAAAGCCTTAAAGCCTTAGTAAGACCACACCTAGAGTACCACATCCAGTTTTGGTCACCATACTATAAAAAAAGAGGTTGAGACTCTAGAAAAAGTGCAGAGAAGAGCAACCAGGATGATGAGGGGACTGGAGGCTAAAACATATGAAGAACAGTTACAGGAACTGGGCCTGGCTAGTCTAGGGAAGAGAAGGACCAGGCGAGACAGGATAGCAGTCTTCCAGTATTTGAGGGGCTGCCACAGAGAGGAGGAGGGGGTCAAGCTATTCTCCAAAGCACCAGAAGGGAAGAGAAGAAGCAATGGATGGAAATTCATCAAGGAGAGAAGCAACTAAGAACTAAGGAGAAATTTCCTGACAGTGAGAAGAATTAATCAGTGGAATAACTTGCCTCCAGAAGTTGTGGTTGCACCAACTGTTGAGTTTTTAAGAAGAGACTGGATAACCATTTGACTGAAGTGGTGTAGGGTTTCCTGCCTAGGCAGGGGGCTGGACTAGAAGACCTCCAAGGTCCCTTCCAACTCTGTTATTCTATTTCTATTCTATACTCTTTAAAAGGCACTTTTACGGGAAGGAATAATGGATGGAAACTGAACAAGGAGGAGAGATTCAATCTGGAAATAAGGAGAAACTTTCTGACAGTGAGATCAACCAACCCGTGGAACAGAAGTTTGTGGGAGCTTCATCACTGGGAGCTTTCAAGAAGAGACTGTCAGAAATGGTACAGAGCAGTGACGGCGAAGCTTTTCGGCACTGAGTGGCCAAACCGGAACATGGGCATGTGTAAGTGCCAGAAACCGAAGACCAACTCGCCAGTGTGCATGCATGCCAACTCTGTGTGCCACCGCTAGCACACGTGCCACAGGCTCGCCATCACGGCTGTAGGGTCTCCTGCTCGGGTGGGAGATTGGAATAGATGACCTACAAGGTCCCTTCCAACTCTGTTCATTTGTTAAATCTGTGTGGGCCTGACGCTCTCAGACACGCTTTGTATGAATTTTATCTTACTTCACCGCACGCTGGTTGCTGAAGAAGCCCCACTCTTCAAATCTACAGGGCTGTTTGCCTTTCCTCTCGGCATGACGTAGCAAAGCCGTTTCACAGGCAAGGATTTCTTTGAAGCTTCCAGGGCAGGCATTCCGCTCGCTGAAGGCAGCCGCTTTGGAAACTCAAAAACGGTTTCTGCCTTCTTCACCGTCTGATAAGACACTTCAAAGAAGCCGCTAGCTGAACCGCGGCTTCCAAGCCTCCAGCTGAGGCTTCCCAACTGCTCCTATCTTGTGTGAGGTGCGCAACGCTTCCGCTTATCAGCACACCAGGGAAGCCCTGTCCCCACTGCAGTGAGGGCAAAGAGCCCCCATGATCCACGTATATTCCCTTTGCAGACTACAGGGACCATCTGCCCTACTCAGGTGACGCTGAGGACACAGGTAAACCTCCAAGTGACCTCAACAACCCTCTAAAAGGAGGCAAATGACCAGCTGTCTGCAAGGAACACAAATCCTTCCATTCCTCACCATCCAGTCAGAGCTGAAGAAGCTTCTTCGATGAGAAGCAAAATGTCTTCAAAGAAAGGGGAAAAAAAGGAAGTCCAGTTGTCTCTTTAAAAAAAGCACCTTTGGGACAACCATGACCTGGAGGACTGCGAATCTCTAGACTTTTAGCCATACAATTTGGGATGGACACCCTTGGAATAGTGTGGGAGAAGGAAAGGATTTCCAGAGGAAAAAATAAGAGTACAAGAACCATTTGCACTAACTACTCAGGTGACCCTGAGGATGCAGATAAACCTCCAAGTGGCCTCAATGACCCTCTAAAAGGATGCAAATGACCAGCTGTCTACAGGGAGTATAAATCCTTCCATTATTCCCCACCATCCTGTCAGAGCTGAAGAAGATTCTTGGAGAAGCGAAAGGTCTTCCAAAAAAACAACAACAAGAAGGATGTCCATTTGCCTCCTGAAAAAAACACCTTTGGGACAACCAGGACCTGGAGGACTGAGAATCTCCACAGGCTCGCTCTGGACCTTACCTCTTTTATTGTCTTGACCACTTCAAACTCGGCCGAGGTGTGGAAGTCGTAGCCCTCTTTCCGCAGCAGCAAGCGGAGGTAACGGGACACATCCCGGCCGGCAATGTCGACCCGCATGATTGAGTGAGGCATGGCAAAACCCTCATAGATGGGCACCGCGTGCGTCACACCGTCGCCCGCATCGAGCACGACGCCCGTGGTGCGGCCTGTGGCGTAACTGGAAGAGGGCAGAGGGAGATGGGGGTGGTCGGTCCATTATGCCAGCGGCACCCAACCTTTGGAGCCCCAGGGACCGGTTCCGTGGAGAAAGATTATTTTCTGTGGACAGGAGGTAGGGTATGTGGTTTTGCCTGTTGCCTGCCTCCTGCAGGTGGCGCTTTCCTTGTCTCTGGTATGCTGTGGCCCGGTCTCTGGTATGCTGCGGCTCAGTGCCAGTCCACAGACCGGGCAGGCATGGGCTGCTACCGGTTCTCCCCAGTTCGGGCGAACTGGTAGCTAACCAGTAGCTCATTTTATGGCCGCTTTGGTGAATCGGCAAATCCCACTCCTGGCTGGCCTCGCCCACACCACCCCGCTCCTCCAAGGAGTCTCCACACAGCCTTCTTTTGGATCCCAGGTAGTGCAGAGCTCGCGAAGAGGCTCGGGGAAGAGAAAAATGGGCTGTTCCCTTCCCACCAAAGGGGTCCCTATTTTTTCTACTTGCATTTTTTTTTTTACATGCTTTCAAACTGCTAGGTTGGCAAAAGCTGGGACAAGTAACGGGAGTTCACTCCATGACGTGGCACTGGGGATTCGAACCGCCACACTGCCGACCTTTTCTGATCGACAAGCTCAGTGTTCTCAGCCACCGAGCCACCGAGCCGTCCCTATTTGTACCCTGTGACTACTTTAAGCGTTGTACCTTATGTTCTTGACAAATGTATCTTTTCTTTCTATGTACAGTGAGAGCATATCCTAGCAAATTCCTCGTGTGTCTAATCACACTTGGCCAATAAAGAATTAATTCATTCATTCATTTACCTGGATGGCCCAGAATCTCTTACACAGACACTTACAGACTGAGGACAGCTTGCATGGAGATGAAGAGAGCAGGGACGTTGAACGTCTCAAAGAAAACTTCTGCAGCCTTTTCCCGGTTTTTGCTGGGGTTTAGGGGGGCTTCTGTCAAGAGAACAGGATGCTGGAAGGAAAACCGAGGGTCCACATCAATGTCACAAAACCGACAGGATGTTTGCAAGCCCCGCTTCCCATCGGACATCCCAACCCAAAAAGGCCCCCAATCCAGTATGAAGCCACTGAAATGGCAGCAACGCTAATTCGATTCGCTTTCCTAAGAACACAATGTGATGTACAGCATAAGAGCCTTGGTGGCGCGGTGGTTAGAGTGCAGTACTGCAGACTACTTCTGACGACTGCCGGCTGCCTGCAATTTTGGCAGATCCAATCTCACCGGGCTCAAGGTTGACTCAGCCTTCCATCCTTCCGAGGTGGGTCAAATGAGGACCCAGATTGTTGGGGGCAAGAGGCTGACTCTGTAAACTGCTTAGAAAGGGCTGTAAAAGCAACATGAAGTGGTATATAAGTCTAAGTGCTATTTGCCTTTCTTCCTTTCTTTCTTTCTTCTTCTTTCTTTCTTTCTTTCTTTTTTCTTTCTTTCTTCCTTCCTTCCTTCCTTCCTTCCTTTCCTTCCTTCTTCCCTTCCCCATGCATCTGTTCAACCCAGCTCAAAGTTGACTCAGCCTTCCGAGGTGGGTCAAATGAGGACCCAGATTGTTGGGGGCAAGATGCTGACTCTGTAAACCGCTTAGAGAGGGCTGTAAAAGCACTGTGAAGCGGCATATAAGTCTAAGTGCTATTGCCATTTAATGTGAAGGGCCTCTCTATTAAACCACATTTTTCACAACATTGTGTTCTTCGGGAACATGTTTAATTAGAACCAAATTTGGAGCCAAGGGCATCTGAATTACCCAGAGACAAAACACATTATAGCAGGAAGCAGGATCTAGAAAGCTCTGGAACCCAACTCTTTACCATAAATGTGGTTTTCCACCTCCTACTGATTAGGAAACTACCAGAAGATCCCTAACGCTCCAATTCCCTTCTCCCTGCAATATATAGTGGTAGAGTACCTTGGTATTCAACTGCTTTGAAACTCATCAAATTTGGTACTCAACGTGTTTTGACGTCAAAATTTTTGTCCCAGCACTCGTTGTTTGTTCGGTACTCAACGCCAAAGCTTGAACTTGTCGGTATTGGCTGCCTGGTGACTCACTACATTAGTGGTACCTCGGTACTCATCATTAATCGGTTCTGGGAGGTGTAATGAGAACCAAAACCAATGAGTACCAAACAAATTTTTCCCCTAAGGAATAATGTAGTGAGTCACAACGCTGATTCTGGCAAGTTCTAGCTTGTACGTTGAGTACTAAACAAACAATGAATACCGGGAGAAAATTTTTTGTGTCAAAATGTGTTGAGTACCAAATTCAATGAGTTTCAAAGCCGTTGAGTACCAAGGTACCACTGCATTTCTTATGGGTGAAATCTGTTCGGTACTCATCGCTCTTCCCAGAACTACTAACGATGAGTACCAAGGTACCACTGTCCATGTACATCTCTTCTGCACCTTCTCCAACTGCTCTCTGGATGTACTGGATCAACAATTCCTATAGTATAAATTTGGATGACTGGCAAATTTTATGGGAATGAAACAAAAAAAAATGACCTTGGCTACATTGTTTAAAGAAAATTTTTATACATTGTTTCATAGATGGCATATTCCGCCATCAAAATTGGCTAAAATGTACCCAAATCTCCCCCCCCCCCCCCCCCGTATGTTGGAAGTGTAATAAGGAGAATGGAACGCATTATCCTTTACGGTGGAATTGCAAAGAAGCCCAAATGTTTTGGCAGAAAATCAGAAAGGATTAGAAAAGATGTGTAAAATTAAAATAGAATATAGACCCGAATTTTTCTTGTTAGGAATTAACGAGGGAAAATACGACCAAGATATTATATATCTAATAACCCATATAATCACAGCTGCAAGATTAGCTTATGCCCAACAGTGGAAATGCAAAGGAAACTCCAAGTGAAATAGAAATAATTAGGAAAATTTGTATGTGTGTAGAAATGGATAAATTGACAAAAGAATTAAAAAATAAGGACGAATCTGATTATTACAAAATATAGGACAAGTTTTATCGCTGGTTGGAAAAAAGGAAGGATCAAGAAAATAAGAAATGATTAAGGTTTATGTATATATTATATACTATGAATATAGAATGTAAATGTGTATTATTTTTGAAATGACTTGAAATGACAACTATGTCGGTTAGGATGATTGCACCATGTTCATTGTTTTTTAAATATCTTTTTCTTTCTTTTTCTGTATGTTTAATAAACATTTTTTTTTGAAAAAACAATTCATATTGCAGTACACAACAGTTCTCTCGGGGCACCAAGCTAACCGAAGCTGCATCGTTTCTTTAAGGCCAAAAGGGGCCTACAACAGCATGCTGGCTGGGGAATTCTGGCAGTTGAAGTCCACAAGTCTTGAAGTTGCCAAGGCTGGACAGCCCTGGCCTACACCGTCATTTCTAAAAATGTTAAAATATAAAAATAAACATAGAAGGTTAACAAATCTCCCCCCGATCTCGTGACCAGGGATGACGTTATTACCTCTTCTGAAAATGTCTGCAGCTGGTCTTTGGAATAAACATACTGCCAGATTCTTTCCATGTCGTTCCAGTCCCGGACAATGCCATGTTCCATGGGGTACCGGATGGATAACAGCCCTCGGTGTTCCTACAGGAGAAAGAGAAAGAATTCTGCTGCACAGGGTGGTACCTGTGATGACCCAGGATGGGATACAAAATAAACACAGTCACAAAAACAGATGGAAGTCCCTTTTATTCCTTCACTTTGCTTCAAAGCTCCAAATATCCTTGACTGGAGACAAAAAACTCCCCCACAAACAGTTATGAAAAGGAGGAAATGCCATTTAAACTAAAAATGCCTATAATTATAATGAGTAGAAACGACACAAACCACACTGAAGCAATTAAGGGAACCAGGCAAGATAAGGGCTTGAAGACGTCCACAGATATCGGTACATACACTGGGAAGGACGCCAAACTCAGAGAGGAACAACAGCCTGGAGATATTTCCACGCTTTGTTTCCAGCACTGGCCCATACGCATGTCCGTCCTTTTAACCAGTTCTCACAGCTGCAGCCCATGAAGAGGATCAAGGCCCTTTCCTCCCCCGCAGACCACACCGTTCACGCCCCTCCCTTATCCTCTCCTCCCTGCGTGCCCTAGGATGGAGAGGGGATGGGCCTGGGTCCTCCTCTGACTGCCCAGCCGGCCTCTGCCCTTCCCCAGCCTCCTCCACAACCTCCGGAGCCACACTTCCACTCCCTGTCGGCTGTTCCTCCTTTCCCTTGGAGTCAGTCTCCAACAGGGGCATGACAGCACCCAGCAGCCAGAAAATGAATCCTCTTGGGTGAGGAGAACGGACAATGTCCAACATGGATGCCACAGAAAAGTTCAAAGGTGGCCTATTGCAAAGCACCACTAAACCTCTCTAAAAGGCACAGTTTGAAACACACGTGCTCCTATTTGCCTGTTAGTATTGAATAAACTATTGTTCCTATCTGTTCTTTCTGTAGTGTAAGAGCCATGGTGGTGCAGTGGTTAGAATGCAGCATTGCAGGCTCACTCTGCCTCCTGCCAGAAGTTTGATCCTGACAGGTTGACTCAGCCTCCCATCCTTCCAAGATTGATAAAATAAGGACCCAGATTGTTGGGGGCAATATGATGACTCTGTAAACTGCTTCGAGAGGGGCTGTAAAAGCATTATGAAATGGTATATAAGCCTAAGTGCTCCCGCTATAAGCAAAACTCTTAATTAAGAAAGAGACAAATCAAGTCGATTACCATTTGAGGTGGGGAACAGGGTTCAAATGAAACCTGGGAAAGACTGGAGTGGCTCTGGGTTTTGGGGCCCTTCTGGGTTTGCACCACCTTTGGTACCGGAGGGGAGGGATAGCTTAGAGGTGCTGTGGGTGGGATTTTACCTCTGCTTTTGGTCCAATGAAGAGATCTCCTTCAAGTGCTCCAGCCATAACGCGGACATGTTTCGGGCGGCCCACACTAGCAAGAAAGAGAGCAATTATCACTCTGCACATGAGTGTGTGTCAACCTTACAAGGCAGACCAGACAGAAAACACAATGAGACAACCTAATTCAACTTCATTGTAAGACTAGCTCTATACCTGTGCTTCACTACGAAACTATGTGATCGGGCTCAGTTTTGGGGGAGGAAAATAAGGGGAAAAAATGGTGCCTCTGTCTAACAACATCCATCGGTATTCATCTGGCTAGCATCCTCTCAGTGTGTGAGACAGCTGAGGGCTGTTTGGAAACTCAAATAGTATTTGCTGTGTGAGCAAGGAGACAGCAAGGAGCCTGGGTGTGGCTTAGCTCAACTGTTCTATACTAAAGCTGCTTGCTGCTGTGAAACTAAAATGGAAACTAAAACTCCTCTCCTCTGCTTGTGTTTTGCATTTGGGAGAGATTTTTTTTCAGGTGGGGAGGGGGAGTAGAACTCCTTAGCATCAGAGCGTGTTAATAATAATAATATAGGAAATACTCTAAATGCTCTGAGGGTCATTTTGAAAAATCCTTTCTTAGCACCTAGAAGCCAAGAGGAACATATGTGCCCAATTTCAAATTTTGTAGGCTTTATGGTTCTGGAGATTTTGTGATGATGCTTGAGTTGCATTTCGCTTTTATATATATAGATGACGGATTTATATATATAGATAACGGATTCTCACAAATCTGAAAGGAGGATTTTCCCAGCATCTCATTTACAGCACAAGAAATTGGATGGGTTGTTGCTCCACCTGCATTCCTGCTCTGCACCCAGCTGCCTTTTATCTAGTTGTTCCCTTGGCTGTGTCTCTTTGCCCTGTTTCCAAAGGTCATCCCCACATACTATTTACACGGGAGGACCCTTTACAATTGATTATCAACCCTTACCCCCCTCCCCAGCCCTTCCCCTCTTGTTTCCCAACTTTCTACACCTAACAACCTACGAGACAAGGAATTCTGCAGCAATACTCACTAGTTTGGGAAGCAGTACTTCGGAATCTGATCTCCGGCAAAACCAGCTTTAACTACTCCTGAACCCTGTATGCAAAAACACACACACACACACAAAAAACCACCTCGTCAACAGCAAGGCAGAAGACATTTTGGTTCAAAACACACTTGGTAGCAGAGAAAAGTTTGCCACACGTTGCTTCGTGGCATAAAGGTGGCACTGGGGTTTTCCTTCCCTTTCTGTAGATATCGCTTTTCAGATTAAATGTCCTCCATTCAAGTATTCCTCGGAGACCAGAGGGAGACACGCTGTCTCTGACAAAGCAGCTGAAATGTTTTAAGCCTTGTGTATGTATTTCTTCCAGATCTAAACTTTTATACAGAGGGATACTTGGGGCCAAGAGAATTTTACGTTGTTCTCTTCTTCTAGCAGCTTAGATGGGATTTTTCGAGGAGCTTCTGTGGCGCAGTGGTTAGAGCAGGGGTGTCCAACCTTGGCAATTTTAAGACTTGTGGACTTCAACTCCCAGAGTTCCTCAGCCAGCAACTCTTAAAATTAATTAAAAGCCACAAGTCTTAAAATTGCCAAGGTTGGACACCCCTGGGTTAGAGTATAGTACTGCAAGCTACTTCTGCAGCCAGCTGCCTACAATTTGGCAGTTCAAATCCCACCAGGCTCAAGGTTGACTCAGCCTTCCATCCTTCCCACGTGGGTCCAATGAGGACCCAGATTGTTGGGGGGACAAGAGGCTGACTCTCTAAACAGCTTAGAGAGGACTGTAAAGCAGTATATAAGTCTAAGGGCTATTGCTGTTTTCTATGTGGTTTGTAGTGCACGTTAAAAAGTCCAGAGCTAGCAATAAAATCCCAACAAATCCAATTGATGCAATGAATGTCAAATTATGGGCAAGTTGTCCTTTCACCTGCAGCACAATAACCATGTCACATTCACCTATGCTGAGAAGAAAGCCGCACTAAATCCCAACAGGTTGTACTCCATGTGCACCCATACAATTGCAGCCGGACACTGAAGTATGTGTAAGCACTGGACTTTTCCCCTTCAACCGAAAAGAATGAACCCGCGTCCCAAAAGGGGAGTGAACTTCAACTCATCTCTTCAGGAATAAGCATACGCGGTGTTCAATATAATTGTTAATTGTCAAAGGAAAGACGCTTCAATATTAATAGTATTACCAACATTGTCAGTACTGTGCTGAGAGCTAAACTTTAATTATACCATCTTTACTATAATGTAGATTTTTATATTGGTTGATCCTACAAAAACCACATCTAGATTAAGATCTGGACACATCTTTATTTCATGCAGTTATTCAAATGCCAAGTCATTCTATCACACATATTCGTGGGAATTCCTTTGAAGATGTAGACTCTTATCAAACGTAATATCCTTAAGTCCATTGGCCATATTAGCTACAATTCTGAAACACTGACATATCCGAAGTTCAGGAAGGCTCATTTTAAAGTTACATTATATTAAACGACGGCATTGACTTATGATGGTTTTATGCCATGGATCAGCATAATGTATTGATTATACAACTGAGCTACGGATTGGGAAAACACGGAAGCGTTCCTTTCAAATAGTAATTATTCCAGACAAGCCACTTCAGCAGCTTAAATGTTCTCATCTGCAGTAGAGGAGCTAATGCTAACTTACCTCACATACAACAACTAGAGAATCCAGTTAGTTGCAGGTAGTCCTCGATTTACCACCACAATTGATCCAAAATTTTTCCGTTAAGTGGGATATGTGTTAAAAGTGAGTTTTGCCCCGTGTTACCACCTTTCTTGCCCCGGTTGTTAAGTGAATCACTGCAGTAACCGGGTTTTTAAATGAATCTGGCTTCCCCCGGTTACTTTATATGTCGGTCAGAAGGTTGCAAAAAAAAAAAAAAACCCATGATTCCCGGGACGCTGCAATGGGTCATAAGTATGAACCAAGTGGCCAAGCGCCTGAATTTTGATCAAAGAAGAAAGGGGAAAACCAGTCGTAATTCACTTTTTTCCCAGGCCATTGTAACTTTGAACGGTCACTAAATGTTGTAAGCCAAGAACTACCTGTATTTATTTTCCATGCCTCACAGTGTTATACATTACTAGCTGGATACCCGGGCTTCGCTACGAAACTATGTAGTCTGGCTTAGTTTTTGGGGAGGAAAATAAGGGGGGGGGGATTTTGCCTCTGCCTACCAGCATCCATCGGTATTCATCTGGCTAGCGTCCTGTCAGTGTGTGAGAGAGTTGAGGGCTGTTTAGAAAATGAAACAGTATTTGCTGTGTGACCAAGAAAGAGACAGCAAGGAGCCTGGCGTGGCTTAGCTCAACTATTCTGTACTAAAGCTGGTTGCTGCTGTGAAACTGGAACTCCTCTGCTTGCGTTTTGCATTTGGAAGAGATTTCTTTTCAGGTGGGGAGGGGGAGTAGAACTCCGTAGCATCAGAGCATGTTAATAATAATAATATACGAAATACGAATGCTCTAATGGTCATTTGGAAAAATCCTTTCCTAGTGAGCACCTAGAAGCCAAGAACATACGTGCCAAATTTCAAGTTTGTAGGCTTTATGGTTCTGGAGATTCTGTGATGATGCGTGAGTAGTCTTTTGCTTTTATATATATATAATTATATGTTGGCTGTCAGGTTGTTCTACAAAGGTTGGCCCTTCCTTTTCCCACCCACTCATTCTTCATTAACTAATAGCAAGGATTGAAACTGGTGTCTTCCTCATTCAGAAGCACTATAGTACCACCAATTTATGGATTATGCTAATAAACTAGGATTTTGAATGGTTCATCGATCATAATCAAAGCCCAGTAAGAGATTTATTTATAAGGTAGAGTAGAACATTTCATTTGGTCAAGTGCATTTAGACACACAAGGAGACAAATTTCTTGTGCGTCTAACCACACTTATCCCACTAAAGTATACTATTCTATTCTATATGTAAATCACTTATTGAGGGGCTCACCTGGAAAGGAGCAAAAAAGCATCTGCAAGAAAATAGAAGTATTAACATGCACAGTGGCAAATATTTTAGCAGGCATTACAATAAGAGTATATTCTTAACCCAAGGAAATTAAGGACAGGAAACAGTGCTATCAGGTAGAGCCCCAAAGAGCAACTACCGCTGTCAAAAATTAAAATAAAATGCATGGGTGGAACAAAACAATCAGTAGGGACCATGATCAACACTAATGCCTTTTTCTATCTCTTGCATTTCCTATACTGTACAGGTAGAGAAAAATGCCAAACTCAGTCTGAACTGGTTCACTGTGTGAGGATGAGGATGATGATTAACAATAACAACACTGTCAAACAACAACAATAACTACACTGCCAAACATCCAGATTTGGCTATCCCAGGTCCTTGGTAAGGATTCACTAAGTAGACAAAAATGCCAGTCCCAGACTGAACATCTGACTGACTGTGAATAATAATAATAGTAATAAAATAATAATAATAATATGGTGGATAACTAGAATGCTGGCAGCAACCTGTATCAACCATCAGTGCCAGTCAATTATATTTGTGATACATTTTTAAATGCTCAGTTGACTGAGATTAATGTTTAATATAATAATAATAATAATAATAATAATAATAATAATAATAATAATAATAATAAT